TGGTTACCGCTGGCACTTCATCTTCCGCCTCCGCTTCGCTCACCACCGCTCATCCCATCTTAATCGCTTTCATTACCACTTTTTGTAGTCTAGTTATTGGATCCGCTGTAAGCGGATCCCTTTTCGCCTTCTCATCGCTTTTTCAAGATCTTCACCGTAGAAATTCATGACTTAAAATCCTTGTGTTCGACCTGGAAACTCACCAGTAAAAAGAGTATAAATAATTGTGATGACTACTCAGGGTCTACAACCACAAAAATTTCCATATCTGATCGTTTTCTATAAATTTCCACTCATTGATTTTCGAATATAAATTCCCTGTGAATTGTGTAAAATAAAACACATCTCTAGCCTTCATCACAACCCCCTTTTGTTTCACCACATCACACATAGATCTACGCAAGTATTCAGCATCACGACGTACGGGCTCGGGTGGTAGGGAAGAAATGCTCAGCTTCTTATCGTCCTTAGAAAATGATATTTGATTTTTATACCTATTGTACAAGACACGCCGATCAAATTGCCAAGGACGTCCTAAAAGAAGATGACATGCGGTCATGGGACACATGTCACAAAACACATCGCTGAATCCACTAATGTAAAACGTCACTCATGCTTGCTTATCCACACGAACAGCCCCTTTGTCACTCATCCAATATAAACTATATGGCTTCGGATGAGCGGTAGTATTTAAACACAACTTCTCTACCATATACGAACTAACAACATTAGTGCAGCTGCCCGAATCAACTATCATGGATATGGTACGCCCTGCTACCTTGCAATGACAATGGAACAAATTTTCTCGTTGTTCGTCTTCCCTACGGTTTGCATCTTCACGTGGTAGAGATGTCAAGGCTCGCATCACCACTAAACTTAAAGGATCCTAATCACAAACTTCCTCAACAACATCATCATTATCTTCAGCAACTACTACGTCATCACCATCTTTATCACCATCTTCATCATCTACATAACCTCATTTGTCATTCTCTAAAATCATAACAGTCCGCTTATTGGGACATTGGCCGGCATAGTGCCCTTGCCCATGGCACTTATAACATGTCACAATCTTCTCTTTTCTATGCCCCAACTCCTTTTCCTTGAACCTTACAGCAGCATCATCCTTTTTGTCTATTATTTTCGCCTTGTCTTTATCCACATTTTTATCAAAAGGCTTTGTGGAAACTACTCCCTTAGAACCGGTGGAAGAGACGAACGAAGTTACAAAGCTGGTTGGAAACTTCCTTCGATAGGAATGCCCGCTTGATGTTGGTCTCTTGAGCTGTTCCTCCCGTTTGATTGCCAAATCCACAGCTTCCCGAAGATAACGAAAACGGTGCAGCTCAACCGTATCGGCTATCTCACGCCTCAAACCCTTAATGAATCGAGCCTTTGTCAAGGATTCACTCTCATCAATGTCCAACCTCATCATCAAAATTTTCAGCTCCTTAAAATACTCTTCTACCGACTTCGAACCTTGTACCAATGATTGCAACTTAATATTCATATCCCGCTCATAACTATCCGGCACAAAGCGTCTCCTCATGATCTCCTTCAGTCGCGTCCAAGTATCAATTGGATTTCTTCGATGTCGCTCCCTATAACGTCTCTCCTTCTCCCACAAGTCAAGGCATAATCTCTGAACTCACAGATTGCCATGCGGAATTTCTTGCCTTCCGAATAATTGTGACAGTCGAACGCCATATCACACTTGGTTACCCAATCAAGGAACTTCTCTGCCCCGTCTAATCCTCCGAAAGTGGACAAGGTAATCTTAATGGTGGAGAGATCGTCATCCAACCTACTGCGCCGATGATGAGTTCGATCATTGAACAAGTAATTCGAACTGTTGCTATGGTGTGAGACCGACCTCATCGAAGGGCTCAAATCGCGGTGATGTGAAGATTCAGCCGCGGCTTGTTTTTCCCGAACAGCAGTAGCTACTCCAAAAGGGATCCCTGTTCGAGCATTCTCCAAAGATGACAGTCTATGATTGATATCATCTAACTTTTTATTCATGGTATACTCTACATGATCCCAAGTCGTTTTTTGTTGCATGGACAATGCTTTCTCCATATTAGCTTCCAATTGCTGCATATTAGACCCCAATAGTTCCTTCATTTGTTCAAAAGAAGCCATCCTGCACTCAAAAGACAAACTATATATGTATATCGAAACGTTAGTATCCTCACTCTCCCTCACAACACTCAAAAGGAAAAATCAGAAACAACCACGATCATGAAAGGGAAGAAACGAGCGCAATTACCTCAAAACAGAACGTAGGAATCCTTCAAATGCAATATTCAAGAGAAGCATGAAATACAAACGCTTGAACTAGGGGAACAAAACTAGAAGATTCGACCCCAAACTATAAACGCAGAATGTCAAATAAAGGTTGATACAAATTTTTTTCCTCAATTAAGCAACTAGTCGAAATCAAAATCCTAACGCACCAGGTGAATAAGAATCATCAACAACCTCTCAACACACTCAAGAGACAAACCTGGTGAAACAACTCCCACAACACGGACTAGGAACCCTCAAAATACAACATGACTACTACAAGAATATTAATCGATGCACTGTAATAGAATACTAAGGTGTGCTGCTCAATTTTTTTTTTGTTTCTGTTTTCTTTTTTTTTATGCTCTAGGCTTTTAATTGATGTTAATTGATGTTTAGAGCATGCCTTTTTAAAAATTGGATTACCATATTGGCTCTTTCAATGCAATTTTGCCACACCTTTTAACAAAACAGAGGATAGTGCATAACAGTCAACTTCAAACGCAAGTTGAGAGGGCTATTCACGTCCAAATGTCATGATTCCAAAACTTAAAATCAAATTCAAGTAGTTATCTAACAGAGAAAACAAAAATCACTCAGAAAATCCTAGCCAATCAAGAGCAGTTAATAAAACAAACCGACTGCTCAAAACAGAAAAACAGAAAGTTCAACCCCAAAATTTTGTATTAACCGATCTCTGTATTCCAGGAATTTTTTGACGATTTTGAGATCGAATCACTGAAAAGAAGTTCTCTATGTATAGAAAATTTGATGCCAATTCCGAAACCTCCTCACAATCTAGAATCGGAGTTCGTATGCAAAAGTTACGGCCAAAATACGATCAACCAACAAAACTCACAAATTTCACTCGATTCACACCCAAATCACTCAATTCCTAGATCACCTTAATGCGATTAGACTCCAATTCAACTATATTGATTAATCAAGGCCTAAGAACTCTTAGAAAACTACGAACAAGGCTTGCTAGTGGCTAAAAATTACTACTAGTTGTGTTTTTTATATCAAATTCAAGAACACTACTTACATTTGACAACTAGCAATCGATTGGAACTAGCATTCATTTCCAACAATTAACAACCATTTTTCAATAAAAAATTCAAAAAATCTTCATCACGGACTGAAATTTATAGATTTCCAAACAAAATATGATATCAAAAATAGATTGGAAAAAAAAAACGGATTTGATCAAAAACGATTGGATCAAAAAAGGTATTGAGACATATGATCGAACACATTGAGATCAACTCGAAGCAAGTATGATAACCGCTCTGATACCAAATTTTTATGACATGGATATGATCAAATCCATGACATATAATCTCAATTCAAGAGAAGTATCAACAACGAAATTGAATAAACGAACCGGCGGATAATTTGGAATCAATCCACGAATACTTCTCTCAAGCAAACACCTTCATGAATCCACACGAACTATTTGGGGCTTGTGAATGCTTCTTCCATCTCTCACGTAAGCTGCATTCCGAAGGCTAAAAAAATTAACCATCTCGGTTGATTGGAATTACTCCAATGGATGGTTGAAATCTCTCCGAAAAGAAGAAAACTTCTTCAAAGTGGTAGTTACTTTTTTCTGAAAAATGTATGTAATATGTTTTACAAATAGAATATAAGGAATATATGCTAAGAAGACGTAATTTAATCTGGGCCATATATCTAATCTAAAAATCAACGGCTCACAACCTCTAAACAAAATAATATCTTTGATCGGGTACGGGTCGCGATTGGTCCGCCGATATTCGGGTTCAGGTCACCCGATACCATGTCAACTATTTTTTAATTTTGTATATTATAGTAGTATTAAAAATTAATTTATTATTTCAATACATTAATTGGATGTTTGTAAAAGAAATTTTTTTTCTAAATAGTAGAATTTTAGACATAATCTTCCAAAAGAACATACTCAATAAATACTTATATTTGAACTAAAATTGATATATTTTAAATATATTATGATTATTATTGATTTTTTTTCCATTTTTAACTATATCAACTACTCTAAATTCAAAAAACAAAAAAATTAAAAAATAAAATATAACAAAAAATTAAAATTTTAGACCGAAACATAAAGGTATTGTAGAATTATACATGGTCATGTAACAACATGATCATATATAATTATACATTGAAATATACATCGTTATGTAACAACATGGCCGTGTATAATTGTAAATGACCGTATAAGAACATGATCATGTATAATTATATATTGAAATATACATGGCCATATAACAACATGACTGTGTATAATTGTACATGGTCGTGTAACAACATGGTCATGTATAATTATACACTAAAATATACATGGTCATGTAACAACATGACCGTGTATAATTGTACATAACCGTGTACTTTCCAGGTCAACTGTCACGTCACCTCCGTCATGTCATCGGCAATTTTCGTTAGTTTTTTAACGCTGAGACCAAAATTGATTAAAATTGTTTATAATGAGACTAAAATTGAATGAAATTGTTTATATTTGGACTAAAATTGATGAGTTTTTTATATTGGGACTAAAAAATTGACAAATTTTAATTATATTGGGACCAAAATTGATGAATTTTTATATTAAAAATTGATAATTTATCAATTTTGATTATATTAGGACCAAAATTAATTCTTTCTGGATTAAAAATTATATTTATATTTTATTTTTAAGCGTGGCATGCAGAAAGAATAAATTCTTGCTTCCACTGAAGCCCCAAAACCCTACATCAGACGCCGGCCTCATCTTCTTCTTCGTCAACCCTTCAATCTACTTCAATCTGGCAATCTATCCCAGGAATTCACAAAACTAGGGCATTTGAACAAGATTTGGTAAGACGCTGGAACGTCTCCCCTGCCATTTTCTTCATTTTCTGTTTGCTTTCCATATTGTTTATCAGTTGGGTGGTCTTGTTCTACTTCTGGTGCATTTTATTTTTGTTAATTTCTACCTTTGTCGCTTCATTTTGAGTTGCAATTCGTTTAAACTGAGGAGTAGAGTTGAAATTAGTGCTGTGATTGTTTCATTTCTTGTTTGTGAGATTGCAATCTTTTCATATCTTCCTGATAGGCAATGGATTCCCGGGAGCTTACGCCGGAGGAACTCGAAAAGAAGAAGAAAAAAGAAGAGAAGGTTCGTTTTTTAATATCTTGTTTCGGCTTTTTCTGTTGTTAACTGTAAGTGCGAATTGAAATGATTCTAATTGGGATCGGTATTCATGTTGTTTGTTTTCGTCCTAATGTTTCCATTTCACGAATAATATTGCTATACAGATATAGTTTCGGACAGGAAACTAGAATGAGCAATGGGCAGTTCATTTCTATTTAATTGATTAACCATGGATCAAATGTAGACTATTGGGCTTTACTCTGTGAAAACAATAGTTGTGTTTTTGGAAATATTTTGAGCATTTTGGGAATAGTTAAATTTGAATCCAAATAGGTTTATGCTGGCGTAAGTGTTTAATGTGGTATTTTGAATCTAAAATTATTTTAGATGTAATCATTTAAATGGGAAATAGGTGTCTGGTGTGCGATAAAATTTGATAAATAGTGTGAAAATGCGAAAATGGCGGGGAGGATACATAGCTGATGTTATGTTTTGAATGGAAAATAATTTTTAAATGTATAATTTTAAATGAAAAATAGATGTTTGATGTGATTTATTTAATTACTTAGTTGTTAGAAATAGATGAATATTGCAAAAATGTGAGAATGAGTGCAAGTGTTATTCAATTTTTAAGATACATGAGTCGTTTTTGTAGATGCTATGGTTCTGTTCCTTCTCTCTACTCTTAGTTTCTTTATATTTTTTTTGCATTCAGTTTTAATGACACTGTTTTTGCTGTAAAATTTTAAATCTAGACTTTTGCATTAAATTACAGGCCAGAGAAAAGGAGTTGAAGAAACAAAAGGCAGCACAAAAAGCAGCAGCAGCTAAAATTCAGGTGTTCGTTGATGATATTTGCAGTCATGAAAGTCATGACTATCATAATTTTAAAGATAATTATGGTGATGTTTCTTTCCACCTCTAACTGCTGGCAACTTTAGGCACAGCAACCACAAAATGCTTCGAAATCAGAGAAGAAAAAGAGTTCAAAGAGGGAATCGGAGGAGGATAACCCTGAGGATTATGTAGACCCTGTAACACCCTTGGGTGAAAAGAAGAAGCTTTCTCGTCAGATGGCAAAGACTTACAATCCCAGTGCTGTTGAGAATTCGTATGCTCTATTTATCCATTTTCTTGTATATATCATGAAATGCTTCCTTTTCATCTCTGTGCTTCGTATCTTACATAGGTGGTATGAATGGTGGGAGAAGTCTAAATTCTTTGAGGCAGATGCAAAAAGCTCCAAACCACCTTTTGTAATTGTGAGTCCTTAACAACTGGTAACTGTTGAAAAATAGTGTTAGGTCTATGTATGAAAACCTATAGGTAAACATTTCATGTGTTACCCATGCATTTACATACTTCTATAATTGTGTTTTTCATGTTTTCATGTTCGGTATATTGTGTCATTTGGTGATTTTGAAATTGTTCTGCTAATGGGTATTATGTGTTTAATAAGCTGTTCTAGCTTACATCGATCATATATAAATTGTTTATGAATTGGGTTGCAATGCAAAATCTTTCCTGAAATCCATTGGAAATGATGGATAAAGAGCAGTGTTTCATGGTATTAAATCCACAATCAATACTAATGAGTTTCATGTATGGAAGTATCTGCAAACATATATCCAATCTTAACATTGGAATGTTACTCGGAAATAGGCAATGGATGAAAATGGAAATATGAAGCAGATATAGCTATTTACGTATTGATGTTTCAATGTTGACTGTAAAGAAGCAGAAAATTTGTCAATAGTGTAGTGCTGCTAGTTTTCATAATGCAGTAACATTTTGATAGTTTATTATAAATATGATCTGTATGTTGTTTGAATTGCATGGGAGTGTGAATTTTCTTCCTCGTGTAAATCGTAAAGGTTGCTTGTATATGTTTTTATCGTCTGATGGTATTGTTGTGAATTCATATTGGATCAATTTATAATTGTACTTACTGAAGTAATGGAGAGGCTTCAAGACCTTCAATTAAATACTGAACTAGTGTGTGCTCCATTTTCTCCTTGAAAATGCAGGTTTTGCCCCCTCCAAATGTTACTGGAGCCCTACATATAGGCCATGCCCTTACTGCTGCAATTGAGGTTTGTGTTGAAATATGACAAGCTTTTTGTAGACTTTTCCCCAATTACAGCTTTATTTGATTTTTTCTCACTAATTCCCTTCAGGATACAATTATTCGCTGGAGGAGAATGTCTGGATACAATGCGTTATGGGTGCCTGGAATGGATCATGCTGGAATTGCAACACAGGTTGTCTTTTAGTGTTGTTGGTTTATTGTTTTATATTAGTGATTCCTGGGCAGGAATGCTTGTGTTTTCCTTGAAAACTGTGATGCATATGTAGCATAGTGTCATTTTTTGTTAGATATGAACTCTGACCAGGTGTTATTTTTGAATACTTTTACCATTTTTCTGTTGCCACCATGGATTCTATTGGTTTAGTCAGGTTTATAAATAACTCCATGCGATGCCTAAGTTGACATTGAGATTGTAAATTTACATCTATTTATAGAAATTCAGCAATAGCCTAAAGCTCTATTATAGTTATAGGGAACTTTTTTGTACCTTAAATGTACATGTACCTGTAACATTCAAAAACTCCGAATGTCCTACAAATTGAAGTTTTAATTCATTTTGCTTGCTAAAGAATATCAGACCTTCAAATGGAAATCCAATACTAGGCTATATTATTATTGTAACAACTTATAAACAACTTTGATGTGCCTTAAATAGTTTAATGTAGCTACAAGGTTTTTTAGATTGCCGTAGCTGTAATTTTTATTCTTATTTTTATTTCTTTGGCTATAGCTGTAATTTATGAGTGGTTTGCTGTTGTTGATTATCCAGGTTGTTGTGGAGAAGAAAATAATGAGGGAATTGAAATTGACAAGGCATGATGTAGGTCGTGAAAACTTTGTGGCACAAGTAAGTTTGATAAGCTGGATATTGTTTGTTTTCTGAATCACACTAGTTTTGATTCAGTATATCATTTAACTGGTTTTACCACAAGTTACCAAGAAGATGATATTGCATTCAATTATACATCTTTCTGACACAGTTATTATAGTTTATGTACTTGCAACTGCTCACCTGCTGAAGTGGTTATAGGTTTGGAAATGGAAAGAGGAGTATGGGGGCACCATATTGAAACAACTTCGACGCTTGGGAGCATCACTGGATTGGTCACGTGAGGTGATGATAGGGTTGTCACTTCTTTAATTTTATAGATAAATGTTTGAGTTCTGTTCTAAATGTACTGATAAATCGGGTGCTCATTATCCATGATTTTCTTCTTTATAGTGCTTTACCATGGATGAGAAGAGATCTGTAGCTGTGAATGAGGCTTTTGTAAGGCTTCACAAGCAAGGCCTTATATATAGGTACTTCAGAATCCATCATGAATTTTCAGTTTTCTTGTATTTATTTTCTTGTCCATTGTGGAATCTTAGTTAGGAATTCTGTTTGGATTCTGGACTTGGATATTCTTAGCTAATGTTTGAAAGTGTGGATGATTGTTTGCTGAATCTTTTTAATACTTAAAATAATGTTTCTTTATCAACTTTTGGTCAAACATGGTCAACTAAATGATTGGCTTGCTGCCTGAGTCCAATTTTTCTATTTTGTCTGGGGTTATTTGGCACCTTTTCGTGTAATGGAGATACAGTATATGATTGCTTTTGAATTAATTTTTTCCTTTTTATTGATCAATAGCTGTCTGATATTTTTTTATGTTTCCCTTAGGGATTTGCGTCTGGTGAATTGGGATTGTGTACTGAGAACAGCAATATCTGATATTGAGGTATGTTAGAGTTGTTCTACTTCATCTGTTGGTATGCATCTGCACAAGGATATCCTGAGTTTCTGTGTGTTCGCTTGCATTTTTAGGTAGACTATATAGAAATCAAAGAGAGAACACCATTGCGCGTTCCTGGATATGACACCCCAGTTGAGTTTGGAGTGCTGACATCATTTGCTTATCCCTTGGAAGGAGGCTTGGGTGAGATTGTTGTGGCCACTACTCGAGTGGAAACAATGCTGGGTGATACTGCCGTTGCCGTACATCCAGAAGATCCTAGATACAGTCATCTTCATGGGAAATTTGTTGTTCATCCTTTTAATGGAAGGAAACTTCCTATAGTTTGTGATGCAGTGCTTGTGGATATGAACTTCGGGACTGGTGCTGTTAAGGTAAAAGAATCTTTGGTGCTAAGGTGCTGACTTTCTGCATGTATAATTCCTTTTTGAAGGAAGCTGATTCGAATGAACCATAAATGTTTTGCAGATAACTCCAGCCCATGATCCTAATGATTTTGAGGTTGGAAGGCGCCACAATCTTGATTTTATCAATGTGTTTACTGATGATGGAAAAATAAATAGCAATGGTGGTTCAGATTTTGAAGGGATGCCACGCTTTAAAGCTCGTGTGACTATTATTGAAGCTTTGAAGGAAAAGGTATTCTTTGTATTTTTTTATTATAGATATTTTGAGCGTAGCGTTTCCATTGTAAGCTTGATACAATTAGACTAGTTAAACTGCAATGTTGTTGACGAGATTTTATAAGCTTATCATTTTATATTCCTTTCAGAAAAGATTAAACTTGGTCCTAGTAGCTAGTGTTTTTCATGCAATTCTCTTACTGCGGGGACAGACATTCACTCTGTCCAAGGATTTTGATTCATCTCTATCATAATTATAATTACTTTTACTGTGCTTTGTATTTAAGGGACTCTACCGAGGTGATAAAAACAATGAAATGCGCCTTGGGGTTTGTTCAAGAAGCAATGATGTTATAGAGCCTCTCATAAAGCCACAGTGGTATGTAAACTGCAAAAACATGGCACAACAAAGTCTTGATGCTGTCATAGATGCCACAAATCCTAAGATGGAAATCATACCCAAACAATATGTTGCTGATTGGAAGAGGTATTTAACAATGAATGATATGCACTGCCCTTTCCTATTAAATCTGATATGATCAGCATTGTCTTCACTTGTGTATGGTCAAATATTTAAATACGCTGATAGAATTTTCATCATTTCAGTTCCTATAATGTTAAACTTGATAAATGCCTTGTGCATGGCAGATGGCTTGAGAACATTCGTGATTGGTGCATTTCAAGGCAGCTTTGGTGGGGTCACCGTATTCCGGCATGGTATGCAGTTCTGGAGGAGGATGAGCTGAAAGAACTTGGGGCATACAATGATCACTGGGTGGTTGCCAGGAATGAAGAAGAGGCTCAGAAGGAGGCAAGCAGATTATATTCTGGAAAGAAGTTTCAGCTTTTCCAAGATCCAGACGTTCTGGATACATGGTTTTCCTCTGGCCTTTTCCCATTATCAGTGTTGGGCTGGCCAGATAATACAGACGATCTCAGGGCTTTCTATCCTACATCCGTACTTGAAACTGGCCATGACATCCTCTTTTTCTGGGTTGCGCGGATGGTGATGTTGGGTATAACGCTCGGAGGCGATGTACCTTTCAGCAAGGTGTGCAACACTAGTCTTGAAATGCTTAATTATGGCTTTCTAATCTTCTCTTGCTTGCAATATTTATATCTTTTGGCATGAACTTTCAAGATTGATGTTCGCAGCTGGGTTAATTCTATATAAAAAATTGAAAATTTTGGGTAAGGCAGTCTCTGGATTTGACAGACATCCAAAGGCTACTCTATTTTTACATCAATCGAATTATGTGTCGTCTTTGTGTTACTACAAGATTGCAAATATCTTCACACTGTATTTTCAACTCTGCAGGTTTACTTACATCCTATGATTCGGGATGCACATGGACGCAAAATGTCCAAGTCATTAGGTAACGTCATTGATCCACTAGAAGTTATAAAAGGAGTAACCCTTGAAAATCTTCACAAAAGGCTGGAGGATGGCAACTTAGACCCAAATGAGCTTAAAACTGCGAAGGAAGGGCAAAAGAAGGATTTTCCAAAGGGTATTCCGGAATGTGGAGCTGATGCTTTGCGTTTTGCTCTTGTTTCGTATACAGCTCAGGTGAACACATTTTCTTATCCCTCTCTATGTGCTTCTTCATTCTGTTTTAAGTTTGTTCTTAATATCCCATTGTTTCAGTCGGATAAAATAAATCTGGACATCCAAAGGGTGGTTGGATATCGCCAATGGTGCAATAAGCTGTGGAATGCTATTCGATTTGCCATGACCAAACTCGGAGACAATTATACACCGCCATCGGAGATTGATCTTGCTGCCATGCCTTCCAGCTGCAAATGGATATTATCGGTTCTAAACAAAGCTATATCAAAAACGGTGGTATCATTAGATGCCTATGAATTTTCTGATGCAGCCACTGCCTTATATTCTTGGTGGCAGTTTCAATTGTGTGATGTGTTTATTGAAGTAATTAAACCATATTTTTCTGGCAATAACCCAAACTTAGAGTCAGAAAGAAGGTTTGCCCAGGATACCTTGTGGCTGTGTTTGGATTACGGGTTGCGGTTACTTCATCCTTTTATGCCATTTGTCACTGAGGAATTGTGGCAGCGTCTTCCTTCTAAGAAAGATTCTGTGAGGAAAGAATCTATTGTGGTATCCGAATATCCAGCCGTTGTAGAGGTAATCTCCACACCTTTTTATGAAAGGATTTTTGGATGCTCAGAAATTACCGTATGCACTACCAATTATGCTTTTGGCCTGCCACTATTTTAACATAAAGTAGATAACATGGACATTCCAGCTTCTAAAACATGAATTCCATTGGTGTTACTTGACGTTGAAGTTAACGTATCTGCTACCCCATCAAGTTATTATTTCAACTTTAATGTGTTTAACAGTGTTGATACGAGAAATTGTGATCAATAATTCTTCAATTGCTTCACTTACTGTGATCTATTTAGTTGTTATTAGTTTAGGTGGTTATAAATTTAGCAGCACTGCAATAATCATTATTTGGTTTTCTCTGGAATTCAAGAGTGGTTCACCATTTTTGTTCCCGGCTTTCATAAAGAAATTTAAACTCTGTCCTAGCTTTTTTAGGTGCTAGAATTGCGTTCTCATTTCTTTATGTAGCAGCTGTGGTTATTTGTTAACATTGCGAATATTGTGGTGATACTTGGCATACGACTTAATCTAATAGTCAAATCATATTAAGGTTTTTGCTCATGATCAAACTCACCCAATGCTCAATCCTTCCTCTACAGAGCTGGACTAATGCTGATGTGGAGTTGGAGATGGATATCGTTGAATCGGTGGTGAAATCACTGAGGTCTCTTCGATCACAGTTAGAACCAAATGAGAGGCATGAAAGGTAACATGGAGAATTTCATTTAATTCTCTGCATTTTGTATAAATAATAAAATTATAATCCTTTTGTCCCAATATTTTTCCTATATTTATTTTTGACATGATTTTATAGATGATATAATTTGATAGTTTTTTTGTTTTTGACCCTTGCTTTTTACTTGAAATGATTTTATAAATTGAATTTAGAAAGATAGAAAATAAACAAAATTGGATGTAGATGAAAGAAAGTTGCAAAAGTTTTAGGACATCCTGAATTAGAAATACTAGCAAAAAATTTGGAACCGAATGAGTATAAGGTTAACCTGGTGTAGATCCCTAATCTATATCCGTCAATTGTTCTTGAATTTTCAGTTATCTCATTAAATGGATGGATCACATCTGTGACTTAGAAAATAGTTTCTTTCAGTGTTTTAAATTGTGGAAATTTTGTTGTTAGTCATTTGGAATTACGAAAGTGTACCGAGTGAAATAGTTTATTAATTTTCAAATATTCTGTAAGAAAAATAGTACTCCCCCTGTCCAAAACTATATCCATTTCCTTTACAAAGACGAGTATATACGTTTTTATTGGAACATACAGAGTAAAGCATCCCTAAAGTTTTAGTTGAAGTATATTATGTAAATAGCTTTTCAGAGGCTTGTTCGTAATTGTTTAACAAGCCTTTAAAGTTTAATTTCCTGATTTGTTTGTCAGGCGAGCTGCTTTTGTTCGATGCCGCACACATGAAGCACGCGATACTGTAAAAAAACATGAACTCGAGATCACTACTCTCGCCACTTTATCGTCTCTGAGTGTATAAAATTCTTTTCCCTTTTACCTTTTTATCTATTCTCTAATATTCCTTCTCAGGGCTTTCATCATTTTATTTATCCATAATGTGATTATTTTCAGGTATTAACGGAGGGCGATGATGCTCCAGCCGGGTGTAAGGTAGATGTCGTGAATGAAGCCCTTCAGGTTTTCCTCAAACAAAAAGGAAACATCAACGTGGAAGCCGAACTTGAAAAACTCAAGAAGAAAATGGAGGATGTTCAAAAGTGAGAAAATAGTCGAAGCTTGCTACTTGTTTCTTTTTGGATACAGTTTTTTTTTTTCAATTAATGATGGATATGTTTGGTACAGGCAACACGAGACCTTGGTGAAGAAGACTAGCGCCCCCGGATACAAAGATAAAGTTCCGGCCCATATCCGAGACGTCGATGAAGCGAAGCTGGCGGCATTGCTTCAAGAAATCCTGTCATTCAAAGAAGCTAGTGAGCTTTTACAGCGTGAAAAATGACATGTTTATTGCCTGCCTGCCTGCCTGGTTTTTTGCTGTTTTTGGATCATACCCTGTTAATTTAATTAAGCTGATGATGCAATTACAATCACAATTGATTTTGTGGATTTGAATTTTGTTTAACGTTTGTTGTTATTTGATTGTTACATTTATCAGAATTTATTGATCTATATTTGAAGGGTTTTTCTTTTTTTTTTTTACAACGGTGATTTACTTGTGATGTTCGATGAGAATAAATAGTGTAATGCACAGAATAGAACAGAACAGAACAGACAGTCTTGGAGTCAGTTGAAAGCCCTCTGCGTTCTCCAGTGACCTTCCTTGTCCGGCGATTGCGATTTGGGATGTCCTTCCCTTCCCTTCCCTTCCCTGTTGATGCGCGAGCTGTTTTTTGATATTCCTACGATTTGGTTTGCTCGATTTATGGCTTATTGTATTATTACACTTGTAGTTAATTTCGTGAATTATGCGTTTGTTTGGCTATCGTGTCACAATTCTCGTTTACACGATGATAGAATGCTCGGTAGGAAATACATGGACAGGTTCTGTATCTTCAGAAATCGTGAGAATGTAGAGGAGCTGGGGAAAACTTGATACAGCAAAATCAGCATTTGGTAAATGACGACATGTGTCAAAATGGCTTGCACAAGGCACCAAAGCTTCTTCTGATTCTGGTAACTGTCTTCAACTTTTCTCATACCATTTCAAATCTGATGTTTTGAACTCTAATTTTTGAAGTGATTGATGCTCATTGTCTGGTCCATTTTAGTGTTCTTTTTCTTGGCTTATCTGAAATTTATAAAGACATTCAAATCATATGGTTTTGAGTGTTTTTTCATTGCATGTATTGACTATCTATTAAGCTTTTGCTCGAAAATTTAATATGTAGAAAATATATTGCAACACAGATCCATTTTCCCCATGGATTCTACAATTAATTATAAATGATTTTGTCTCTGATCAAATTGAAGTTTCATGTCATGTTTTTGAGGTTTCTTATCCTTGTCTTCTTCCCTGTGGTAAGTTTGTATTGCCGGTGAATGCGAATAATATTATGCCGGAACAGGAACAATACTAGGGAGGTCCCAAGTAGCTGTCTGTTGAAATGCCTATTGACATATGTCATGTAAAATTTTATCTCATCTTTTTTTGTTACTTGAATGATGTTGTTTTTACTATTTTTTGTTGGAGGGATTGGAGTAACAAATGTATGTTTATGCTACCATTTTAGTGACCTATAATGTGATGGGCTGCTGTTGCATTGTTGAAAATATTAAGGGTGTGTTTGATTGGGGGTTTGGATTTTGAGTTGGGATTTGAATAGTACAAATTTTGAATTTGAATAATTGTTTGATGTGATATAAATAGGTGTTGGTGTGATGTTTTGAATGTAGAATTGATTTTTAGTATAACATATAAAATAAAAAACATGTGTTTGATTTGATGTTTTTGGGAAAAAAAATTGGATGAATAGTGGCAAAAAAATCCAATCCCTGAACAAACACATCCTAAGTATTGATATGAACTATATATGATAAATGAAAATATTAAGTATTGATATGAACTATATATGATAAATGTTCAAATAATACATTACATAAAATTTATTTATACATTATATTCTATAATAGTTACAAATCATTACGACTTAAAAACGGTTTGAACCGTCAACTTATATATACTCATTTTTCACATATATATTTTTTTATTTTTTATTTTTTTTTTAAATTTGAATTTTATTTTAAAATAATTGAGTTTCATCTTAATTTTATTTATATATTTATTATTTATTTATTATGTAAATATTATATATACAAATAATTAATTAAATTATTATAATATAAAAATAATTAAAATAATAAATTTGATAAATAATTAAATTAAATTTAAATTTAAAAGTAAAAAAATAAATTATAGAAACATTGTAATAAATAATAAAATAATTTAAATTAAATATAATTATATAATAAAAAATTATAGAATTTAATAAAAAAATAAAAAATATTATAGTATTATTAGTTTTCAATATTATTATAATTATTTATATGTATTAATATTAATATTATTGTTATATCTTCGAATTTAATAATATATATATAAAAAAATAATTATAAATATAATAATATTATTATAAAATACGTATAATTTAACCTAATGCCTAATCAATACAATTACACAACCGCCGCAGCCGCGCCAGCGCACCAGGTTCTCCTCTTCCTTCTTCTTCCTCCCATTTCTTTCTGTTTTTTCTTCCAACCTCGCTCCTTCTCCTCCTTCTTTCCTCCTTCTTCTTCCTCGGCGCCTGCCTGCCTGCACATGGTGAGAGATTTTTTTAAAAAAAAAGAAAAAAAAAAAAAAAGAAAAGCAGAACCGCTGATTCAAACCGAAAACGCCGGTTTACGGTTTGAACCGTAACAGGCGAACCGACGGTTCGAAACCGAAGGAGCAAGTCTAGTCTGCACTACCAAAATCCAACCCATTCCCTCACATAATCTAAGGTAAGGTATGGTTAATGCTCGCGAGTACTGGGACCGGGACCGGACTTCCAACCCTAGGCCCAATCCGGCAACATCGCCATCGCCGCCTCAGATGGACGCCGGAGACGTTGCGGACGATTCCGGGCTATACAATACCTCCACTGCTTTTCTTACTGCCCCAGTTGCCAATCTGAAGAGGCGTCGGGAGGAAGACGTCGACGCCGACGCGGCTGCGGAGGCCACCGCTTCAACTGATGTGCCGGAGGCGAAGCGACGCGTGAAGGCCACTTACGATGTGATATACAGGATTGTAGTGCCGTCAAAGCAGATCGGAAAGGTCATTGGTAGAGCGGGGCATCGGATTAAGAGGATTCGGGAGGATACAAAGGCCACCATCAAGATTGCTGATGCAATCTCTGTGAGTTGATTATATATATATATATATATTCTTAATGTTTTGCGGATAAAACGATTATCTGATAGACGAACATACGACACTCTTGTCATTTAATTTTTTCTGATTCGAATTCCAACGATTATCGAACTTACTCGTTTAGTGAATTCCTAGATTTGTTGAATGGAGATGTTCTGAAATTTCATTGGCTTGGAAGATTCTGTGATTTGGTAATTTTGATATTATGCTTTGAAAATGGTTCCAAAGATGATTGAAGAAAAGGATTAGGTTGATCTTCGCGATTCTTTGTATGATTTCTCATGTTAAATCTGTTGAACTTCTGATATTGACGAAAAGTTTTCATAATTAAAGCCATTCCTGCACAAAAAGTGTAAGAACTTCTTGTGCAAGTGTAGATGAGTAGGATCGATGTTACTGTAATTAAGACATTGCAACTGATTTGCAAATCTAGTGTTTTACATTAAATGGAAAAGTGCCCTGATTGGATTTTAGCAAGAGCTTTCACTAAGCATACAACTCAGGCATGTGAGAAAATCAGTTGTTCAAAGTAGCTTGCAATAATCAAGATTCCTTTTTTTTTTATTAGGTTAACTGCATGTTATTTGATTCTGTCTGCGTATTGATGAGTAAGTACGTAGTCTATGAAGTTTAATATGGGTACGTTACTCACGTTCCTGTTTTCTTGCTCTGCAGTTTTTCATTGACAGATAGACGAAGTAGACCACTAGTCAAACAGGATTTTCCTCTATAATGCGGATCTATAAGTTCAATTGACATTCTACTGAGTTTCACTGCGAAGTATTGGTTCGGACAGATACTTAGATACAAGCTAATGACCAAATGTCTGTATTTTAGGTCAGATATGGCCTTGTCTTCTGAGAATGTTGAAATTCACGCCCCTCCCTACCTTCCCACCCCGCCCCTCCCTACCTTCCCACCCCACCCCTCCTTACCTTTCCCCTTCTCATGCAACACTTCCACCCCTCCCCTTTTCTGGTGCCCAGATCATCCTCCCCACCCCATCCACTTATGTGTTGTGTACCCTCCCCCCTCTATGTATTTTATTATGTCTCTATTCAATGAATTTCCCCCTCCACTAATCAACCAAGAGAAAAGAAACGAGTTTGGTTTTGAATGGGAACTTAGGGTGGTCATGCAAATGGCTATCCTGACTATGTCTGGATTAAGCCGGTGCTCCATCTGTTGGGATGTGATAGGATATAGAATAATCTTGGAAAAGTAATTTTTACGATTTGTTGCTTAAAAAGAGGGATATTTAGTTTTTTCCATATTTACCAGTTAATCTTGTTTGTCGTCTTATAATTTACTGAGATATGCTTGACATGTGTACTGACGATAAGATGGTGGGAGTAAATTTAAACTATATTAATTTTCTTCTGTCTTTGCAGCGGAATGAAGAGCGAGTAATCATTATAAGCTCTAAAGATTGTAATGGCAGTTTTTCTGATGCAGAAAATGCCCTTCATCAAATTGTCAGCCTGATCCTTCAGGTACTCTTAATTTCATGAAACTCATATGCTTTTATCTTCGTGATTTTATTCCTTTTTATGCCAGATGCCTTGAGAGCATGTTTAGGGGCCAAAATGATAACTTGACAAACATGTTCGAAGCCCTACTAGATTAATGGATACCATCTGAAGATTAGCTCCTTACATACTCCATGATAAAATTCTATCTATTGAACCTTCTTGACTGATTGATTTTCGAACATTTTATTGGAAACAACACAAAAAAATCAATATTACAGAGCAAAGACTATGTCCCAACCCAAAGCCATCACAAACTAAATGACTATCGCATAGTTGTCAATCTTTGATAGTGTTACATAACAGTCAACCTCTAAAAATACTATAGCGGACTATTTAAAAATTTAAGAATATACATATAAAATTTTATATGCAATACAATAAAAATGCATAAGAAAAATATGTAGATTAATTTTGTAATTATTGTTTATACTAATAATAAAGTTGCAAAAAAAATATATAATCATAGTTTATAGAGTTAATTAGGTTCAAAATCTAATAAATAATTTGCTTCCACATTTTCACGATCTCCCTGCTACTCTTGTATGAACATTTTTATTCATTTTATCCATCGTATGTTAGTCAGATTGTACAATGTTATATAATAGTATAAAATCTATATTTATCAAATAAATTTATAATATAATATTATAAAATCTAATTATCTAAATCTACTAATCATGAAGTTTATAATATATTATTCAATTTAATAAGCTGCACTGCTACAAGCTCCTATTGCATAAAAACAGAATTGCAGAGCGGTGGTAGCAGCACTAGGTTGCTAGGGTGGGTCGGGGCCCCAATACAAATTACTAAGAAATAAAAAAACGGTTAATGTAATAAAACATTAGTCACATGCCAAAATTGGGCAACAACGAGTCCGAAGTAGGCTAGCCCATATTTTCCATGATGGGTGTAAACCCGGACAGTGGATGGGCTGCTTCTGGCTAGTCTGTAACATAGGCCCATGCTGTTTTGAATTGATCTATGTTCTAGCTTTGGATTTTGAAGGGCATTTGTGCATACAAACAATTGAAAATGGGATTTGTGGAAACACGAGTGCAATAAGTTTTTTTCTTAATACAACTATAGCCCCCGTAATCAGCCTTTTTATTCTTTTCAGGGTTGTTATGCTCTTGAGAACTTTGCTAATGTTATTGTCATAGCTTCAGCAGAACTAAATTACTTTTTTTTTTTTTTTTAATTTTTATACTTTGGTACTAAAACAAAAAATTATGCACGAGAAAGCAAAGGAAGGTATATTGATCTTTTCATAACCGATTTTCCCACAATGATTAAAGAGGACGATTATCTTGGCTTCATTCATCCTTGTGAAAGGAGATGCCATACAGCATGAACTCCAAGTTAGAATGAGATGCATGACTTGTAATAGTTATCTTTTCACAGAACCGTGTTTTTTGTGCCAAGTTAAATGTGTAATCATAGAATTATGAGGTCCCTCTCATCTAATGATAATGTGGATAATGTGTTGTTATCTTCAGGACGATGATGGTAGTGTGGAGGCAGCAAAAGTTGGTCCAGGGCATGTGGCAGCTAATACCGTAAGACTACTGATTGCTGGTTCTCAAGCAGGTGGCTTGATTGGAGTATCAGGTCAAAATATTGAGAACTTGAGGAACACTTCTGGAGCAACTGTCGCTGTTCTTTCTCCAAATCAGTTGCCACCATGTGCTTCTGCTCATGAATCCGATCGAGTTGTTCAGGTAAACATATTGGATTATTCTTCTGTATAGAACTTTTGAAGATAGATTTAATTTTAATCTTTGGTACACTTCTTTGAAAGAAAATTATTTGGATATGGAGTCTATCACATTCTTCTTTTTTTGTTCTTGCAGATATCAGGGGATGTTCCTGCTGTGTTGAGGGCTGTGGTAGAAATTGGCTGCCAACTTAGGTGAGTGACGGTGATTTACATTTAGTACTTATTTTTCTGTCCTCGAATCTGTTTATATGCACTTACATAAATCACTTATATAGAGAGAATCCACCCAAGCAAGTGATATCAATCAGCCCATCTTATAGTGCTGGATATCATCGACAATCACAACAATTGTGTGTTGATCCTGCTTCAGGTAATTGAAACCAGTACTTCATTAGGCATTTGATTGCTCCATTTTGTCACAATGTTAGAATTTTATAGATATGACATGTTCAAATGACGTCAATGGAATTTATTTACCTATTTTTTTTCCAGCTGATTATGCAACACTGGAGCTCTTGGTTCCTGAAAATCTGGTGGGTGGATTGATAGGAAGGTTTGGTGCCAACATCTCAAGAATTAGAAACGAGTCTGGAGCTAATATCAAGGTAATCAAGATCTCTTCTCGGTGGGTGTTACTGATTCTGTAGAGTTGATTGAAAGTGCCTGTGGACATGATTTCTAGTTTCATTTTAACTACAGTACCTCACTGATTATCTTGGTGAAATAGTTTAGAACCCTAAAAGTTGGTCGTAATATACATGCCGAACTGTTTGAAACTCAAGCACATGTGTTGATACGAATAAAATACAACATCTTGTATGGATTTCAAGTTTCACACATTGGATAATTAGTATTCTTTCTTCGCCTTTCTTTAATAATCTCTTTGCAGGTTTACGGAAGCCGAGGTGAACAAACCCAAAGGCAAATTCATCTAGGTGGTAGTGCTCAACAGGTATTTTTGTAATCTGAAAAGTTCTAATGTTAAATGTGACAAATTTTTTGATTCTAGTTAACTACGACAAACACAAAGTAATACATAAATTTTCAAGTAATACATAAATTTTCTAGTCCTGTCGAAGATATCTGCTGTGACTTTGCTATGGTAGTTAACCGACTGAACTATCCTTCTTTAATAGGACATGTCAAATGTTCTTATATAGGTAACAAGAGACGAGAAAATTAAATCAATCTTACTTGATTAATCCAATTCAACTTCTGACTACAAACAATCAGCTCACCAGTGTTATCCTATTTCAGGTGGCTCTTGCCAAACAACGTGTCGATGAATATGTGTACGCCGAGCTGATGAGACAAGCAGGCGGCGCTCAACTACCTCAAACTGCCGCTGCTACGCATCAGTCATTGTAATCCGTTTCCTTTGTTAATTAATCAAAGCTACTAGATTCCTATCCTACAGGCGCCTCTTTATTAAAGTAAATACTATTTTTTCTGCAGATCCGACTTGTCAAATGCTCTGTACCCTGGCTATGGATATGCTCACGGGTTTTACACACACAGGTTTACTTCTTTGCTGCTGTATAGATGATGAACTTATTGTCGACTACTAATAATACAACTTCATAACTGAGTCGGTGAATTTTGCAGTGGCCAGGATGGTGGAATGATGGCTTCCCTTCCCCAGATGTATGCATCAACGCCTTCCAACCAACCTCCTTACTATGCTCACCAATCTTATTCTTCCCGCCCATTATAGGTTTTTCTCAAATTGCTGGCTCAATCCTCTGTGCCCTTCAGCTTTTATCTATCAGTTATTAGTTATTATGGTTTCTCTACTTGGTTCTTAAACTGTAAGATGAATGTCGTTAGAGAGAGAGACTGAGACAGCCGAATTTGATTGAATGTAGAGTTGATGATGTTGGTTAATCTAATGTTTTGCAGGCATGATGATGGAGCTAGAGCAGTGATGATTACAGACCAGTCACAGCAGAAGTTGATGATGGTAATATATATATTATATATATATATGTGTGTAAATCTATCTTTGACAGTAGCAGTCAGTATAGTATAGTATGTGTATGTGACCTTTTATTATTCTTGATTGTTCAACTGGTTTTTTGTTTTTTTAAATAAAATCGAATTTTTTTTACCTTAAGTTATTAAAGAACTTTAAGTTTAGTAATTTTTTTTTTAAATTAATACTTCCTCCGCCAAAAACTAATGTCCTACTTTTCTATTTGGGACGTCCAACAACTATTGTCCTATTTATTTCTATATATTTTTGTTATGTAATAATATATATAAACAATATATAAATAATTTATTTATCTATCATATTTTTATTATTTAATAATATTTTTATATAATATTATATTTTAATTTTTAAATATTAATCTATATAAATTGTAATAATTGAATATATTCGGAATAAATAAACATATATATTAATTAAAAATAACATCAAAAGAATCATAATAATTAACAATATAATTTAAAGAATTATTATTTTTATTTTTAAATTATATCCAAATAATATATGCAGTAATCATATGAATTGATTAATGAATTTTTAATATATATATATAATTTATGTTAAATTTATAATTTAAAATTTCAAAAAAATTTGGATAGTATTTAATTTAATTATTTTTTTTTTAAAAAAAATTGAAATGTAATAAATTTTGATAACTTTCTTGTTAAAGGTAATGAGTTTTGTTATAGTAAAAATTGAAAAGACAATGATAAAGGTAAGTAAAGAAGAAGATTGTAAGGGATACTTTAAGGGTGTGTTTGATAGAGAAATGACAAATATAAATTGTTTTATTTTTCTTTAAGAGAAATGCATATGATTGTATATTGATGGTATTTTTTTTTTGTATTATTTAATTTTTATATTTTTTAATTATATTATTTCAAACTTATAAAACATCATATTTAATTTATTGTTCAAATATTTATTTATTTACTATATTTTTTTAAAAAAATTACACTAAAATTGATCTTACAAAACATCAATCTAATTTATTATTTAAACAAAAAAGTTACCAAAATATGTTTTCTGTTGTCAAGTGTACACGAATAATACACATATATGTCGACACAGAGGGTAAGTGAATGCTTTTATTCAGAATCAAATATTTATCTGCACATGTATATAAATGGAGAGAATACCTGTAAATGGAATGAAATGAAAAAATCATTTCTGCACAAACACAATTCATATTCTCAATATCTATGTGCCTTTTTCATATTCATTACTACTATCTACTTAATAATATAATATAATATATATATGTACACAGTACATATATATATATCACCCGCCACACACATTTCTATATATATATATATTCTATATTATATAATATTATACTATATATAAAATAGTGATTAGCGGTAGAAATAATTAATATTTCTATTGGTTAATCTTATACTAATATTACAACACGTTATCAGCATGATTGTGTATTTTAATTTTCGCAAGATATGGATTGTCAAATATTTTGGAGCCAATGACAATATATGCCTTATCGACAATGCTACGACTTACAACATTTTGAAAAACAAAAATTATTTCTCCAACCTAAATATGGGAAATACCACTATTGTTACTATTAGTGGTGCATCGAAAATGATTGAAGGCTCAGGAAAAACTACTGTATATCTCCCAAAATGGACAAAAATGACAATTAAAAATGTCTTGTTCTCGAGAAAAGTTCGAAGGAATTTACCGAGCTTCAGTGATATTCGGAAAAATAGGTATCATATTGAAACATAAAATGAGGCAGAAAATGAGTATTTCCTGATTACTCAAATTGTGAATGACAACAGAATTGTAAAAGAAAAATTGTCATCATTTTCTTCCGGCTTATATTACTAAAAAATCAGTGCCATTGAAACATATCACATAGTAGACCAAATGACTACTAGCGAATTCAAAACTTGGCACGATCGACTTGGGCATCCTGGCAATGTAATGATGAGGCGAATTGTTGAAAATTCAAATGGCCACTCATTGAAAAAGAAAAATATTTTGAGTCCGAATGAATTTTCTTGTGCTGCCTATTCCCAAGGGAAGTTAATAATCAGGTCATCTCCAACAAAGGTTGGATTTGAATCCCCAGCTTTTCCGAAAAGAATTCAGGGTGATATTTGTGGACCAATAGATCCTCTGTGTGGACCCTTCAAGTAATTTATGGTGCTAATTGACGCGTCAACCCGATGGTCACCCGTGTGCCTGTTATCTACTCGCAATCTAGCTTTCGCTAGACTACTTGCACAAATAATTAAATTGTGAGCACAATTTCCAGATCACCCGATAAAGAAATACGTTTAGATAATGCTGGAGAGTATTCATCGTATACATTTGATGATTACTGCATGTCAATTGGGATTACTGTGCAACATCCTGTTCCCTATGTACATACGCAAAATGGTCTGGCTGAATCCCTTATCAAAAGATTGCAATTAATTGCTAGACCATTATTGATGAGGTCTAAACTTCTTGAATCATGTTGGGGACATGTTATATTACATGCAGCAGCACTCGTGAAAATAAGGCTGACAAGTTATCACTGTTATTCCCCTACTCAATTGGTATCTGGAAAAGTACCAAATATATCTCACCTGCAAATTTTTGGGTGTTCTGTTTATGTGCCAATTGCACCACCTCAACGTACGAAAATGGGACCTCAAAAAAGGTTGGGTATATATGTCGGGTATGAATCACCCTTGATTGCAAAATATCTTGAATCAACAACGGGTGATTTATTTACTGCAAGGTTTGCAGACTGTCATTTTGATGAATCTCATTTTCCGACATTAGGGGGAGACAGTAATCAACTGAAAAAAGAAATTTCGTGGAAAATACCACTTGAATTTGATCATCGTACGAAACATAGTGAACTTGAAGTTCAAATAATTGTGCATTTGCAGAAAATTGCCAATCAATTGTCTGATACTTTTAACGATGCTGCCAAAGTTACGAAATCATATATAATAGCAACAAATGCACCCGTTAAAATAAATATGTCAGAAGGGAAGGTATCGAGTGCTAATGAGATTATTGCCCGCGTAAAACGTGGCAGACCGTTGGGTTCCAAAGATAAGAATCCACGAAAGAAGAAAATTGTAAACACTGGTGAAGAGATCAACAATGATTAGATACATGAAAAGGTCAGCACAACCCCTTAAGATGTTGATACTAAAAATTATGATGAAAGTGATGATGAAGTTATTGAAACTTCTGTTAACTATACCACAAGTAGAAAATATTGGAACAAAAAGAAAACAAATATTGATAATGCATTTGCATATTTTGTAGCACTCGATATAATGAAAGATGACGAGGATTATGAACCAAAATCAGTTGATAAATGTCGGCAAATAGATGATTGGGCAAAATGGAAAGACGCAATTAAGGCTGAATTGGACTCATTGAACAAACGACAAGTATTCGGCCCTATATTCCAAACACCTGAAAATGTGAAACCTGTTGGTTACAGATGGGTGTTTGTGTAAAAAAGAAATGAAAATAATGATATCACAAGATATAAAGCAAGACTTGTAGCCCAGGATTTTTCGCATTGATTTTGAAGAAACATATTCACCGGTCATGGATGAAATAACATTCAGGTATTTGGTGAGCCTGGCAGTACACAATAATCTTAATATGCGATTAATGAATGTGGTTACTGTCTATCTTTATGGCTCCTTAGACAATAAGGTCTACATAAAAATCCCAAAAGGGATTAACATACCTGAATCATTCAAATCAAAGCCAAAAGAATCATATTCCATCAAATTACAAAATTTTTTGTATGGGCTCAAGCAATCGGGCCGAATGTGGTAAAATCGTCTTAGAGAAAGTTTAACAAAAGAAGGTTACATAAATAACCCTATCTGTCCATGTGTTTTCATAAAGAAAAATAGGTCAGGATTCGTAATTATCACTGTATATGTCGATGATCTCAATTTAATTGGAACTCCTGATGAAATTCAGAAAGTTGTTGAATATCTGAAAAAGGAGTTTGAGATCAAAGATTTTGGAAAAACCAAATTTTTCCTTGGTTTGCAAATTGAGCACTTGGAAAGTAGAATCTTTTTCCACCAATCAAATTATACCAAAAGGGTAATGAAACAATTTCTAATGGATAAGTCACATCCACTAAGTACCCCAATGATTGTCAGGGCACTCGATCAAATAAAGGATCCATTTAGACCAAAAGAGGAAAATGAAGAAACACTTGACCCAAAAGTGCCATATATGAGTGCTATAAGCGCATTGATGTATCTTGCTAACACCACCCGACCTGATATATCATTTGCTGTAAACTTATCGGCAAGATTCAGCTCATCGCCTACTCGATGACATTGGAATGAGATTACGTACATTTTTTGCTATCTCCAAGGAACAATTGATCTCGGGTTATTTTACTCGAAAGATTCTCAACATGAATTGATTGGATTTGCCGATGCAGGATATTTATCGGATCCTCATAAAGCCAAGTCTCAAACTGGCTATATATTTACTTGTGCGAAACAATGATCTCTTGGAGATCGATTAAATAAACTTTAACTGTCACTTCTTCAAATCATGCTGAAATATTGGCAATACATGAGGCTAATCGAGAATGTGTATGGTTGAGGTCAATGACTCAACATATTTTGAAAAATTGTGGGTTAACACCTGACAATAAAATTTCTCCAACTACATTGTATGAAGATAATACGGCTTGTATAGCCCAATTGAAAGGGGGTTACATTAAAGGAGATCAAACGAGACATCTTTCACCAAAATTCTTTTTTACTCATGATCTACAACAAAATGGTGAAATCAATGTGCAACAAATTCGATCAGATAATAATTTGGCGGATATATTAACCAAGGCATTACCGACTGCAACATTTGAAAAATCGGTAAAGAAAATTGGAATGCGTCGGTTCAGAGATCTCAAATAATGCTCAGATCAAGGGGAGCAAATCGATACAAGAATATTGTATTTTTTTTCCTTCACTAGGATTTTTTTGTCTCACTGAGTTTTTTCATAGTAAGGTTTTAACGAAACACATTCTTCGTACAAAAGCATCCAAATGGGAGAATGTTGTGAAGTGTACACGAATAGTACACATATATGTCGATACAGAGGATATGTG